CATGTCATCTTGATTCAATTATTCTTCACTTATTGAACAGTTCAAAGATTCATCTTTTAAAACCTTGTCCGGTTTGGGGCTGAGGCGACAGACTCAATGTGAGGTTTTGTGGGCTGTTCCTGGTGCCCATGGAAGCCATCATTACCCCGACATGGTGACCTGATGTTTCGAGCGTTGGAGACAGGTGAAAAGGTTGCACTCTGACCTGAAAGTAACAGCAAGCTGCAACCCAATGACTTTGACATTGACTCTTGAATTGACGTTGACAACTGTCCTGCTTAGTTTTGATCATGTTGCCCTTCTCATGGAGTCCTTGCTGCTTAAGGTGCTGGATGCAAGGGTATGGTCTAATACCCAGAATCAGAAAAATGTCCATGTCAGGATCATGCAAACTCATCCATGTCAGAAAATTGAACAGGCATTCATTCTCTTGACCATGCCGTTTCTTTTATCTTTGAATAACACCTGAGTTGCGATTCGTAAATACAGGGTTTGACTTGGTGTGTTGTTGGCCCTGCCATGAGGCCTGAACTCCTGTGCGCTCAAAGAGTTGCTCATGGTTGTCCTCTGAGGTGCATCTGACTTGTTTGACACCAGTCCCACCTTTTTGAGGTTCCGTCTGTTTGATCTTTTGATGCAGTGGTCATTGAGTCATGGTTCCTGTCGTTTGCAACTTCTTGTGATGTTGAACTGTCCCTCCAATTCAAGGTCATGTGTGTTAATGATTGCCATGACATGTCACTGACATATGTGAACAGTCAGACAGAGAGTCGAATGATGACAAATTCATGAGTGGTAGGACAGGAAGCAACCACATGACCATGCCGAATGATATTGAAGCAACAGTGTCAAATGTCAACTTAGTCTACTAGTAGCCTCCCTAGCCAAATTTGGATAGATCTTGTAAACTTTACAACAAGTAAGTTACTCACTGCCACTTCCACCTGCTGTGCCATCTGAGCCATGGACATTGAAATGACGAAGTCTTGGACTGACAATTTGGTCTTGGTTGCTTGGGGCGCAGATGCCTACTATGGTGCTAAAGGTTACCGTGGACGTGACATGATGCAAGGGTTTCTCAAAGGTACCTCAGCCAAAGAACTGTTTAAGTCACTGTGTTTCCAGAGCGGCGCACTTATAGTTTCATGCAATTCGTTTGACTTGTCTTTCCATGCAATTGGTTTGATTTGTCTTTTGAACAATTGGTTTGACTTGTCTTTTTAATGCAACTGGAAACTGTTATCTGGTTTTGTGGTATAATAGCTGTGCATGTTTTTTCGTCTTGATGTTGTTGTGTATGTTACAGCACCTTGTGATTGCAAGTGACAGCGCAGTGTGGGCTAAGGCAGATACAAGGAAAATTGCACGCATATCACGTATGATGTGCGTGGTTTCTGGAAGGACCCAGAGAAAGATAGTGGCCTCTCAGCTCAAATCACAGCTTCAAGCTTTAAAGGTGACTATAGATCATTATCCAGGAAGTTTCGCAAGGAAGCATCCACACTGAATCACAGTTGTCAGTCTTCCATGTCATACTCTGTCAATGTTTCCACAAAATTTGGAGTGCTTGTCAAAGTCAGAGATCATGTCATGGTCAGCGCAGTCGCCAGTCAAATGTCTGAGGAAACCCGATGAAAGATATCGATGTGTTCAAGAACATCGCATGGAAGCAGAGTGCACTGGACGCTCTTCTGGAGGTGATCGAAATGGTGAAGAACCACTTCCAGATCCATAAAGGACAGTCACGGCTCATCATGCAAGTGGTGTGTATCTTGGCGAAGGGGTTGCAATGTGTTTCCATGTTCCATTTTCGACATGCCACTCAGTGAGCCAAGGCACACAGGGCTGGCATCGGTCAGCGGTTGTCGTGACGCTGGGTGCGTTGGTCTTTCAGTGCCAAGTCTTCCTTCCTTCACACCATGGGTTACTTGGCAGAAATTACTTTACGGGTTACTTCAATGACAACTCCAGAGAAACATTTAACAACCAAGCCAATAATTAATTCCAATTTATTTCAATTCAACAGATTGAGTTTAGCTATGCAGCATGACAACAGCCAGTAACAGATGTGGCAGTTATGCAAGGCTGAATGCTGGTGCGATCTACTACAATGAACTGCCCTACTTGGATGACGCTGAGCTGATGGATTGGTGCGAATGGTGCCGAAGGGAACATGACCTTCCCTGCATTGAGGCAGTGAAGGAAGAGGTGGTCATCGACGATAAAGAGGAGGAGGAGCTGGAGGACAAGAATGACACCGAGCATCTCGACGATGAGGAGGAGGCTTGGAGCCAACGGGAGACTTGGAGGAGACCATGGAAGTTGTCACCTCCAAAGAAGATGGCGGCCAAAGCTAGGCCAGAGGGTGGAGAGGGCAGCAGGCCAAAAAAGGCCAGGGTGGAGGAGCCTCCACGACTTCCCAAGTCTCCACCCCGGGGCCCTCCACCAGCACTGGCATCAGCTCCATCATCAGGGGCATTGACGGGGGGCGCAGAGAATGCGAAGGCAGGTTCAGTGAGTTCAGTGGCCAACTAATGAGGGTGGAGAAGAATGTGAAAAAAGGGTTCCACTTTTTTGCATGTTTTTCCCAGACCCAAAATTTACTTCTATGACCAATGGCCTGCATGTCGTCATCCCCTGTTAGGCTGTGCTTCGGAATGTTGCACCTGATATCTATGACACCTTGGTCTTGGTGAAGCCGGAGTTGGAGCCCATGTGCTGGTCTAGCATTCTGAGTCTCTTTCAGTACAGTGAGGGGGGGAAGAAATATGCCAGGGACTTTTCCATCCAAGCTGCAGGCCATGTCCAGATGGGGAACTCGAAATGGAGAAGCCCCACAAATGTCTGCTTGAAGCATGTGAGGGAAAAGTTAGATGCTTTGAGGCTTCCTGACAATTCGTGGTCAAAGGACCATTGGCAGTCATGGCGATAGGGATTACCTTTCGAGCTTCCGTGGGCAGGAAAAAGAAGAGGCTATGTGCTCCGTTTTGGGAGTGTTAGTTGTGAACAAAATTACAAATTGGACACCAATGCAGGTGAACACACTTTCTTGTCAATGTCAAGATTCCTTACTTGTGATTGTGACAGGTCATATCAGTGCTGATTTTGGGCAAATGCTGGATACTCAGAGTTTCCCACTAAGCAGCCACAATTTGGACAGTTTTGGTGTCACTTGCATGACTACGCTGACTCTTGCATCTTCTCTTGCCCAACAGTGCATTAAGTGTAGCAGTTGAATCCGCTGTCAGGTACTCACTCTCGATTGCTCACACGTTGACTGCTCAGTGCTTGGACATTGGCTTGTAGATCGTATGGAATATGACGCATTCAAACTTGTAATCGCTACTGGCTTAGGGCAACAAAGCTGCAGACTTGTTCATTGAGTTTTTCAGCTTTATGACAGCCCCATGACATTGATCATGACGTTGTCTTTGACATCTGTTCAGAATGAGTTTGCTTTGCATTGTCGTGATAGTTCAACCATCTTGCCCAGGACTTCCCAGTGTGCCTGTTCAGCCAGGTCTTCGGCTCTAACAACCATTTGACACTTCCATAGACATCAGGTCAAGTGCAGTTTTCAATTTGACATTTGTCAGACTAGTGTAACATTCAAGAAAAACGCTTTACAATGAGTGTTGTATACAGTGCGGTTTTGTTCTTGAGTCTCTATGACTCTTTCTCTTGCCATGGGGCTGGCTCATGGCATTCCCCGTGGCTTGGACCAGGAAGAGCCTAAGGCCATGATGCCACCAACGCCACAGCAGTTCTCCAATGATGATGATGATGACGATTTCATTGTCGTAGAAGACACTTCACTGAGCCCTGTCCATGAGTTGTTCGTCACTGACACGTCTGACATTTGCAATCGAAGGATGAAACGACGCAGGGTGCTTGGCAATCTGGTTCAGAAGTTCTTTGCCGAGGAGAGACAAGTCCCAGATGTTGTCAAAGAGTTGGTGGTGCAAGTCTTTTCTGATGCTTTGTGCGACCAAATGCCAAAGCGAGAGTTTGAATCAAAGATGTTTATAGCTAGACGCTGCTTACGCTGTAGCGATTGAGGCTCTAGCCTTTTTCGCTCTCAGGATGTGCAATAATTAGAGCTAGCTGGAATTGACAAATTAACCATTACTTCTGTCTGCCTTCGCGATTGCTCTGCGATGCATTGGTCGAAAAAATCAGTGATCAAGGTGCAGTTTGTTGTCATGTCCAAATGCCAGGCCAAAGGTCAGAAAAGAAAGTCAGGGGAACAAGAAATGGACTGGTGTTTAGTTTTTCGACGATTGTCAAGGTGCATGTCACTGTCACTGTCATCACTGTCAAGTGCATGTTATTTGCCGTTGTCAATGTCAAGGTATTGCATTCCAGTCAGAGTGTCATTGAGCTTTTCAGTTTGGTCCAAAAAAGCAAAGCCAACATATCCTCAGCATTTGGCTTGACACACCATTGGTGGATATCAGCTTTGGTGGCTTGTTCCCATCTGCTGTGGTGAAAGTAGATCATGGGGCGACATGGGGCTAAGAAAGCTCGCACCTCCACATCGCCTGCTAACATGATGATGAACCCAATGATGAACCCGATGATGCAAGCGATGGCTTTGCATCCAATGGCAAACATGATGAACATGATGAACCCGATGGCTATGATGGCAATGGGCCAGCAGCAGGGCCAGGAGTCTTCTTCAGAAGATGAGGATAGGAATCATGCTTCAGCTAAAGCAGCTGGTCTTGCTCCTGCCCCTCTCCAAGAGCAGCCTGGTCCACCACCTCCTGCAGTCCCAGACCAACCAGGACAATCGATGAACCACCAAGCTCATGCACTTGAAGCCCTGAGGAACCGTCGATCAAACCTTTTCAGCTCAACTGGTGGTGCCGACAAGAAGATCCACCGGGGTGCTGCCATGATACGGTCATTGCCCAAGGACTGACATGTGATATGGGAGGGATTGGTATTCCAACATGATTTCATAGTGTGTTGTTTTTGAAATCTTTCTGTAACCCCCAATGCTGATTTCAAACTTGGTTCGAACCCTGCAGAAAAGACTCAGCGAACTTGTGGAAGCGTTGGATGGCCAGTTGGATCCTACGGTCACCTCAGATCTCAATATGCTTGGCCTTTGTCGGGTGATCTGGCTATTGACCCGACAGAAGCCCCAAGTCTGTGTGAGCCGCCTTCGCTGTGAAGACTATGGGGAGCTCAATACCAGACTTCACCAGCGTCATGTGCAACTAGTTCAATCATCCTCGGATGTTGCAGCTGCTTTGAGCACCATCAAGTCTGAAGCGATCTTGACTGAGAGCTTCATAGCTGCCCTTGCAGAAGCTCAAGGCTGGGATGATGAGTGGATGGCTGCTGAAGAAGCCACAAGCAGGGGTCGTGGTCCCAAAGCTGTGGCGGCTGAGATGCGAAGGGCCGCTGCAGGGAGTCATTTGATCCCAGACTTGATGAAAGCTGCAAGCCAAGCAGCTGGTGCTGCGCCTCTTGCTTCACCGGGGGTGTCAGGTCCTGTTTTGCCTCAGCCTGTGAATGTTTCTGGGCCCCCGCCTGTTCCAGAATCCCATGCACCTCGCCCACCTGTCCCGCTTGCTGTGGCTGTTGCTGCAGCTCCCAAAGCTCCTCCCGCTACGGTGGTGGTGGCTGCAGCTCCCAAAGTGATGCCAGTGCGTCCTGTGATGGTTCCTAATGAGCCTCCTTTGAGCAACCCTGTGCCTTGGTAGCAGCATCATTGTATTGTATTGGTTTTTGTTTGGTCCAGTTTTCTGCATTCTTTGATGGATCATTTACATTTGCGTTGGTGATTGTTATGCTTCTCATCCTACTGTATTTCGAAAAGTTTCTGCACACATCTCGCCAAGTGTCCACTGACGTTGGTTAATGTATTGACTATGGTTGTCAGTGTCACTGTCTGTATCAGAGTCTGTGTCAGAGTCTGTGTAACCTGCATTAGTCAAGACATGTCTCAGTGTCACTGCCAGCTATTGAGGACAATGCAGCGACGGTCATCGATCCACAGGGTGGCCCTCTTGGAACTCCAGATCCTGCGCCTCCTGCTGGAGCTGAAGCTGGGGTCGATGTTGTGACGGACATGGAGGTGAATGAAACTCCTGCGGAAGCAGCTGGAAGCCCTGCAGCAATGTGTGCAATTTGCCGCAACTCCCTGCGAGAGCCTGGACGGGAGGTTCAGATGTTGGCTTGCGGGCATGTGTGGCACAAGACATGCCTGGAGAATGCTTGGACTATTGGAGGACATGAGCCAGGTTGGTGCCCTTATCGTTGTGATGTGCGCCATGCAGCTGCAGAATTTGAGTTACCCCCTGCTGCTGGTGATTTCGAAGAAGCTGCCCATGGTGTCGAAGCAGAGCCACCTATGGAACCTGTGTCACCGAGTCCGGTTCCTGGTCCTGCAGGGGGTGAGGCAGCCATGGTGTTGTGAGGCATAGCTGATGTCCCAGGGTGCAACTTAAGCTGTGACAATGCATACTGGCAACGTTTGCTTGTGCAACTGGGCATAAAGCCACAAGGGGTGAGTGACTGTTGGCTCCCAATGCTTTGTGGCTACTCGTGTCACGTGCTTTGTTTGTGGCAGGCACTCGTGTTTGGCTTCCCAATGGCACTGTAGAGTATGCAGTCCCAGGTACAAATTATCTGTCTGAAGTTAGGAAGGGGATTACCTCTTCATGCAACGATGTGGGAAAAAGTGAGCGGCCAGAGTTTTTCCTCATTTTTGCTCGTTTTTGCTCATTTTTGCTCGTTTTTGCTCATTTGTGCTGGATTGTGCAACATTTGAGCTCATTTGAGCTCATTTGAACTGATGAAGCGCATTTGAGCTCATTTGAGCTCATTTTGTCTCATTTAAGACCCAATTGTGGCATGTTGTGCATCAGGTGCAACGGTGGTGCAACATGGGGTGCATGCGTTAGGGCCTCAGGGAGAGCGGTTGAAACAGATCAAGCACACAGGTCAAAAAACATGGGGTCCGTATTTTTGTTCTAGCTCAGACTTAGAGGGCGCAGAACAAAGCCAGTGCAGAGCACTGTCAAGTTGCAGAGTCACAGTCACTGTCAGGAATACTGTCAGCGTCAGAAAGAACAATGGTTGCGTAATGCAGCAGCGCTGTCATGATCAGAATGTCATAAGTCTCAAGTCAAACAAAAAAAACTATTAGCACTGCCTGTGTGAAAAGTTTCTTCGTTGCAGCCATGGTAATGGCAGGGTCCTCTGGTGATTTGCGAAGGCAAATCGAAGCCATCCAGGCACGTGACTGCAGCATGGAGGCGAAGTTCCGTGCAACGAGTGCAGGGATTGATGTGAACGCCCTTGCAGAGCTAGAGGCATTTCCAACAGATGCTGCAGGTTGTATCAGTGGGTGTGACAATGAGAAGCTAAGACACTGGTCAGAGCAAATTGACATGTTCTATCACTTTGACAATGAGAATGGTGGGAGAGCTCAAAGAGTATGGGTTCAATTCCTATCTCTTGCATTTCCTTTTATGATGGGTTGGACTTTGCAGTCAATGCTTCTTTCAGTGCTAGCGCGGGCTGACTTTCATCGAAAACGTGGCGCTGCCAAGTTCCAATATGTGGAGGTGTTCTGTGGCAGAGGTAACTTGTCATGAGCTTGCATTGCTGCAGGCCTGCTGGGAGTGTCCCTGGATACATGTGTCAATCCAGACCATGATGTTCTCTCAGCCAGTGGCTTTAGATTGCTTCTAGCTGCTTTGACTGGCACAGTTCAAAAAGGATTGCTCTGGATAGGGACGCCATGTCGGTCTTTTTCAGTGATGTCAGCGTCTGTCAGCCGGCGGACGGCGGAGAACATGTACCTGGGAGACACTTCGCTGTTTTGCGTGCAACTTGGGAATGTCCTTGCAGACATCTCAGGACTTCTTCTTTTGCTGGGCTTTCTTCTAAACTTGTCAGAGGGATTGGAACAACCAGGGGGAAGCACACTTCCTCTCACGCCAGTGGTGAATGCTGTTCTTCGATTCATTGGTTCCAGCAGGACAGACACATACCATTGGTGTTTTGGTGGACCGACGTTGAAGCCACTTCAGCTATGGAGCCGGTGCAACTTCATTAGGCACTTGAGGAGGCCAAAACCTTTTGTTCCATCCATGGAGGAAAATGCCCTAGCCAAGAGAGGTTCTGATGGCTCCTACACTGGGAACCGGGAGCTCCTGGAAGAAAGCCAAGAATACACTTTGCAATTTGGCAGATCTGTAGTTGCTGCTCTGTTCCATGAATGGCGTGGCAATTAATTAGGCCACTCCTGACTAATTTGCTTGTTCGTTGACAAGCCGAGCTCGCTTATGGAAAAGGACGCTGTCATTTGTCAATGTGCATTGCTGCGAAGGCATGTCATTATTTCAAGAACGTTGCTCAGAGACATCCCATTTTGATTTCTGGACCATGTTAAAGAGACCTTTGAGCTAGAAACTACCTCTGGTGGATTGAGGCCTCCAAAAACTGCCTGCCCTGATGCCCAGTACTTTTCTGTGATGAGAACTTTTAGTGGATTGATGTTTGCGTGATACAAAATGGGATTGACACAGGTTTGGTACCATGTCATCTGGACCAAGAAAAAACCAACTACTATTCTTTAGCTGCACTGAGTGCTGTTGATAAAGAGCACCTGTTTTGACACTGACAAGCGACTTTGAAATGTGTCACCGAAGCTCCTTCTGCAGGTCACAACGGAGCCAATGACTATGACAGTGGCTGCCTAAACTTTACGCAGATGTAGTTGCTGTGGTTCATGCTTGGTGAGAATGCAAATCATGGTGCAGTGGTTCAACTTTCCATCTTTCTCAGTAGATGCTGGATCAAGAAAATGGGCAAAGCAGCCCAGTGATTTGCATTAGGTTTTGCAGCAAGCAGACCATTGCCCCCTCCATTGATGATTTGTCAAATCGTCACTTGAATGCTTCAAATGAATGAACTTGGACCTATTAGTCATTATTCCTTTCGTTGGGATCATCGACAGAATTGGACGATTAATGTATCAAACCCTGAAATTAGAAATGACACGATTGTACTCTTCCCTGCATGCTTTTGCATGCGCAATGTCAGCTTGTGGTCCTAGATGAGGACATTGGCCTTTTGTCAAAGGTAGGTTTCATTGCCAGAAGAGATGGTCAGGAGCGGCTTTGGTGGTCTTTAGACTACTTGTTCGACAAGTTCAAAGCAAGCGGTGACGAGAAACGCGTCTTGTTCAAATGGATTCAATTCTTCAAGCAGAAGGTATCACAATCAACTTTCTGTGATGATCCTTTTTTCTGCCAAACAAAGCAAACGAATTTGCCTCAGCATGCTCTACACGAAAATGTGGCAACCACCTTCGCTGTCCTGGTATTCTTCAATGTTTTGCTAAAGGAATCCAGAACGCCCAAGACCGTGCAAATGCTAAAGAATTGGATTCCGGTACTTTGCAACAGAGCTTGCTCCATGCTCTCCATCCTAGTTAGTCTGGATGTTGAGGACTTGCAACCACTGATTGTGTCCCCTGCAGGTTTGGTGAAAGGTATGGAAAGCATGCTGAGCTCCAAGCACCGTACTTGTTTTTTTGCTGTGCAGAAAGAATGGCAATCGATGCATGAATCTGGAGAATTGAGCGAAGAATTGATCAGTGACGCAGATTCAGCCATCCCGCTCCAGGACTTGCTTTGGTTTGTTGTCTCTGTCGACCGGAAACGGAGATCGTCTGGCGGCCATGTGTGGCCGAAGGACAGCGTCACAGGGTCTACGTTGTTGAAACTTCAGAAAGCCTTGCTTGACTTTGTTGCCCAAGGCATCGACAGGTATGTCAAAGAAAGCTACATCCAGACCCACAACACGGACAAACCTGCTCCCTCTAGAAGGGTTCTTGGGATTGCCAGTGATGTTCCTGATGGACAAGTAGCACCAAACCCAGCGACGAAAGTCATGATGTCTCCTGATGCGATTTATGAATTGTTTTCCCAAGCCAGGGAGACAAGTGTGTCAATGAAACAGGCGCTGCCTTTTCTTCAGGGCGAAAGGGTGTCTTCCATGGCGGGCTGCAAGCCGACAGCCGTGGACCCATGGGTGCGACGAGCCCAGTCCATATACGATGAAAGAGCAGCACTTTCGCTACTTGGGGTGACTCATTACAACTTGGTTTCCGATTGCTCTGTGCATAGCGGGAAGGAGTACCTTGTCAGTATTTGCTACTCGCATCAGGCAAGCACGGCTTGCTTTGCAAACATTCAACAGATACTCCCTCTGGCGCAGATAACTCCAGGCGAAATTGAGCTGACCTCTGTTGTAGAGAAGCTAGCGCAGGAACCTGCTCTGGAGGGTAATGCTGTGAACTGATAACACATCAGAAAACTTGGCATGACTAACCAAATGGAAAACAATGGATCAGACGCTGTAAACAAGATGTTATGTTTGATCTGAGTACCATTTTTGTTTCTAGTACCATTCATTCATTCTAGGACCTCTGGCCCTTCAGGAGAACAAACTTGTCAGACTGGCTTCCTACAGACAACTGCAAGCAATTTCCCAGCAACTCCACTTTTTGACGAATGGTCAGATGAAGAACCTTGATTCCTTTGCAGTACCTGATGGCATTACGTTGAAACCTGTCATGTCTGGATGGGACCGCTTTCTTCGTCAGGAACCTGGACGAAACAGAGCTGGGTTCAGGAATTCAACCGATGGCAGTGAGATCTTGCTATTGCCTGATGATCGCCAGTGGTGGGTTGATGTTCCACTATTGGTCTTGCAGCTGGATCAAGGCCCAACATGTTGTGGAGGGGCAGCGTTGCTAGGTTCAATTTATCCATGATATATTTTTTACTTGCTTGGGCCCTGGCATGTGAAGCATTTAGAATTAATCAAAAAACAACAATAGTATAGGGGCAACCTTTGGTGAAAGTGGCTTCAAGTTGGTTAGATTGTTTGCCAGTTCTGCACTTCTTAACTTTCTTTGGCCAACCCTGCAGCCCAGGTTTGCGATTGGCAAAATGGAGAGCATGATCTTGGCCAGGTGGGATGTGATACACAGATCCATCCGAGATGTGAAACTGTCATTGCTCCACGGGGCTGGTGGCGAATTTTATCAGGCCCAATTTCATTCGCAATATCTGTTCAGTTTGGCCTACAGGCCTTATGGAAGTTAAGGCTTCTTTGAAGACAAAAAACGTTTACTGGAGATGATGATGGCGAGAGAGGGGCCTGACACAGTGCCAATGTTTGTCGACTCCTGGGAAAAAATCCGGGATGAAATTGGCTTGCCGTCTACTGCCACCATGACTGATACCTGGAATGCTCTC